GATGCAAACTTTTTAATGATGTACATCACAACAGTCAGAGATCCTACGATTTCATACCTGCCTATGGCATCTTGTGTTTTTCTCTCTATTAAATATAACCTTTAGCTCCAGTTAGCAGACTGGAGAAGCAGATCACAGAACAAAGCATGTAACTTTGCTAGCCTGTTGTGCTAAGAATGTTATGATCTTTGCTCAGCTGTTTATAAATTATTTAAATATGAATGGGAGTTTCAAGGACATATTGTACATACTGAGCTTTTCTATCCTTGTCATCCTTGTTAGGCTTTCGACTTGCATCATTTACATGTAACAAAACCAAAATAGCACATACAGGATAATATGTCAGATCTATACCTAAGCCAAGCTCCCATAGATTTGAGTGTAAATTCAGACTGAAGCTATGTAACAGCAACATATTTGAATCAGGATTTCTTTTTTAGTTCATTGTAACATATATTTGAGATGTAAGTTATTTGTATGTGCTTAGTAGTCACCAGGTCTCTTGTGAGTACACAGATAAGCTAGAATGAAGAACTGATATTCTGAAAGAAGTGTGAAAGAAATATGGAAAATGTTTGTCATCCTCTATAACCTGTTATTATGTCAAAGATAATGGGATATGGATTTATACTCAGGCAATATTGTGAATATTTTAGAATTGGTTTACAATGCTATTTTATTTACTATTAAAAAACATTTTCATGCGATTGGTAAAACATACACTAACTTCGATATATTTTAAATTTCTACCCTTGCTTTTTATTTGTAACAAATCCATAGAAATAATACCACCATTTTTCATGAAATTTGGATCTGAACAAAATCATGGACATACATACACTGCAACTCCTGTTGGCCTGGGTGCTTGGTGTTTTCTCTCTGTATGTAGTACGTGGCTAAGCTGGTGTATGCTTGGATCAAGTCTGTGTGGGGATATATCAGCAGCAGGCACCTCAGTGGATGTGAAAACTCAGAGACAGAGCAGTATAGACACAGCCTAAGTGCTTTCTATCACTCATGCAAAGGTGCGGTCTTCTGAGAGTGATGAATAATAAATTTATCTTTCCACATCATGCAACTCATTTTCTAGTCCAGTGCAAAGGTGCAGTCTTTGATGAATAATAAAACCCCCGTTTTTCTTCCCATATCTCCTCAGAGAGACCAAAATAATTGTTAATATAGCTTGCCATAAGCTTGTAGGTCTGTGCATTTTATTGAATATATGAATTCAAAATAACTCATAGTGAGAGCAAGAGTTGTATTTTAAACAAATTCAGGCTGTTTTATTCTCTGCTCACGGGCTTAGGCATTTCTAGTATCAGCTTCCATTTGTTTTATGTGGTTGCAGTAAGTTACACGCTTGTTCCACGGACAGGTATTAAAAGGAGGAAAAAGTGATTGCGCTAGCATTCATGTCTGTAAACATCATCATGGCCCACCAGAGCAAACTAGTATGTGCGTATGCCCATTAGGGCATGACATATTCAAATTTGGTAGTGTTGTGAAGTGGTACTGTTGCAACTGTAGGTTTTCTCTTTTACCAGATGGTACTGGAAACATGTCTAAACTGTCATTGTTTGAGTTATTTCTGGCATGTTGTTAGGATTTGATCTCTAAAATCTTGTATTCTGAGCAGATTAAATTTCTTTTATAACAAAAACTCATTCCAGCAAAGGGATAAAAAAACCAACAAACCAGCTAATTGAAATTGTGCCCTCAAAGTCAGGTGACCAGCAGATATTTTTCAAATACAAGTATTTTTCTTATCCAATGTGACATCTGTTTTTGTCTGCATCTTACAATTTGCTGGATTTAACAAGCTCATCGTTCTTATGATACTTCCGTTGTTCTGTTAGTATTTTCTGCACTATATTTGGCGTGATCACTTACTATTCCTGC